GCAGTCAAGGGATATGTATACTTGTCAATGTGTGATCCTACATGCATGACATAATCATTGTATTTGATAGGTTTAACATGGACTCTGGGAGTTTTACGAATGGCAATAAGTAGTGAGGTAGGAGAGGGAGTTTGAGGTACTGAATGTATAGGAGGTGAAGGTGTAGGAGTAGTAGGAGAGGAAGAAGGAGAAGGAGAGGATTCTTGTTGTGGAGAATGTGGTTCAGGATTAACCAAATCCTCTACAGGAGAAGCAGGAGCTGGTTCTGATGGATTGACAAGGGGAATAGATGAGGAATGTGGTGGGAAAATGTCAGGTGGTGAATCTGAGGAAGTGGAAGGAAAGGAAGTTGGAATTGGATTGGAGGGTTGAGACTTAGTAGAGGTACTGTCTAGACAAGGAATGATGTTCTCATGGAACACGACGTCTCTTGAATAGAAAACCTTTTGATCCAACAAGTCAAACAATTTAAATCCCTTGATTCTAGGATGGAAGCCAAGGAAAACACATTGTTTAGCTCGTGGCAGGAATTTAGTTTTGTGATTACCTAATGTAGAAGCATAACATAAGCAACCAAAAACTTTCAGTTGGGAAGGTCAGGTGGGTTGCAATACAGGACTTCATAAGGTGTTTTGTTCTTCAAGGCGGTAGTAGGGAGTTTGTTTATGAGGTAAATAGAATGAAGGATAAAATCTTACCAAAATTTCAGTGGCAATCCAGATTGAAACTTTAGGGACCTAGCTACATTCAAGATTTGCTGGTGTTTTCTTTCAACCCTAGAGTTCTGTTGAGGTGTCTCAACACAGTCCATTTGGTGTGTAAAAGGAGGGGATGTGAAATTCACCACCTTGATCTGATCTAATGGTTTTGATTTTTGCATTATATTGGTTCTGTACCATAATGCAAAAGTCTTGCAAGAGTTGCCTAGCCTCACTTTTCAGTTTCATGAGGTAATTCCACACACATCTAGACTTATCATCAACAATGGTTAAAAATATTGGAATCCATTGTAACTAGTCACAACCAAAGGGCCCCAGATGTCAACATGGATAATGTCAAATACATGTTCTGCAATGAATGGACTTGAAGAAAAGGGAAGACATTTTTGTTTAGCATAATGACAAACATCACAGTGATGTATTACTTCGGTATCTATACTGAGAACAAACTTCTGTAGCTCTTTGATTCGAAAAGAAGAAGGATGGCCAAGCCTCCAATGCCATAAGTCAAAATCTTGAGGTATAAGGTTTGGTGTCTTGATGGAATTCACAAGTTTTGGTATGTCTTCTGTGTGGGCATTGATCGTATATAGGCCTCTAATCTCTCGGGCAGAACCAATCTTCCTCGGGGTGAAGAGGTCCTGGATATCACATAGGTTGGAGTTAAAAATGAGTGAGATTGGAAGAGTTTTGGTAAGCCTACTGACATAGACAAAATTAAATGAAAAGGCTGGTACAAACAAAGCTTCAAACAGAGTGAGTTCAGGTCAGATCCTAATAGTTCATGAATGTGTAGCATGGGTCTTGGAACCATTAGGCATGGTTATGAACACATTATGTATAGGTTTGTAGCTAGAAAATGATTTCAATGATCATGCAACATGATTTGTGGCTCCAGTATCAAGGAACCACACATTGACAAGTTCCATAGGGTGCTTAATGTAACTGGTACTCAAGGTAAATTTACCTGAAAAGTTTGGGTTAACAAACACATGTCTGCTGATGGAATTCACCAAAGGTTGGCTCTGCTGAATTCCAGATGGTCCAGGTGAGGTAGGAGAGTGTGGTGGACTGAATTGGTTCAACATCCCCTGGAGCCTACTAAGATCCTCAGTTGATAGCCTGATGTTGGTATATCCATCCCCAGCTTCTAATGCACTCTTGGTTTCGGGATGGGCAGAATGCCACTCCCTTCAGTACCCTAAACTTGTCTGGCAAACCCTGATGATCCTCCTGTCTCCTTAGAGGAATTCTTTCTCTTCAGCTTGTAACAGTCGGCAATCACATGATTGTCTTTCTTGCAGTATCGACAAAAGAGATTCCCCTTAGAGTTCTCCTTTCCCTTGCCTTGATTCGAAGCTAGTAGTGCCACTGAGTCTACCTGAGACTCTGGATTAGGCTTAGCAAGTTGCCTCTCATGCTGAATTGCATAATGGAAAGCAGTTTCCATAGGAGGTAGGGGTCTCATCATAAACAGGTTCGTTCTTACCCCCTCATATGAATCGTTCAAGCCCTTAATGAACTTAGTCACAAACTCATTTTCTCTATACCTTTTAATGGTAGCCTCAGTAACACATATTGCTCCTCCACCCACTGCTCCTCCACAAACACACTGAGGTATATGCAGAAATTGACTCAATTCTTCCCAATATCCCTTCAACTTGGAGTAAAATTGATTTACAAATCCGTTACCTTACTTCAAGGAGTACATAGCAGTCTATAGGTCACAAATTCTGATGTTGTCAGCTTGGCCGAATCGTTGCCTCAAATCATCCCACAGCATTTGTGAATTGTGACTTCTCGATGGTGGAGACAACATCAACCAGACTAGGGTCAAGAGATCCTAGAATCATGAACAGGACTGAGGTGTTGCTCTATTCCCAATCTAGGTAAGATTCATCGGATGGGTCAGGGGTTGGAATCAACCCAGCAATGAAACCCAACTTGTTCTTGCTTTTCAACGCCACATGAACAGTTCTGCTCTAGAGATTGTAATTAGACGCTCCAGTGAGCTTAAAAGGGAAGACAAGAGACTCATTAGGGTTGATATAGTAGGGACTAGTGACGGAAGGGGAAGTGGTAGAAATTGTTCCAGAATTTGTAGTAGAAGAAGATGAATTGGAAGACTCATCGGCAGATGCAGTCGCCATGGTTTACTCAGGGTAATAAGAAGAAGAATGCGGATGAAGAAACCCTAGTTTTGGTAACCAGGCTCTGATACCATGTGAAACTATGAAATGGATCAAAATTGGAGAAGAACCCGCATTGGATTCTTGTGCCCCGTAGGCTATATATATAGAAGGCAACCCCTTCCTGTACAAGTAGTCTAGGCTAATTTAATTACAACGACTAATAAACAGTAAAACTATAACTACCAATGAAAATAGGACACGTTCTCTATACAACGATCAATGAATGAATAATATGACACTAAGTAGAACGATGTCGTTCTAGTCCAACTCCTCAATTGCTTCTGGAGAAAACGATGTCGTGCAGTGAGCTCCTTAGTGTCGTTTTGCCAGTTCAAACCCAACATCAGTCTTCGCCTTCTCTAACAAACTATTGGAATTTGTTTATTAGTGAACTCATTATAAATGTTAAGAATGTTGGCTGATTCTCGTTGTTAATGTTTTATAATTGATTTTATGATTTCATTTATTAAAACTTGAGGTTGATATACATGACTTGTAGTTAATGTTCTTTCTTGTTGATGGTTGTCAATAGTGGTAGTGAATATTGTCGTAATGTCGTTAGCTTTCATGATTGACAACACAACTCATAGTCTATGTCATCATCGATGTTCGATTGTTGAAATTGAAAGTCTAACATTCATTATTGACGATACGAAATAATGATTAACATTTAACAAACCAACACCTTACTAACCTAATAACGTTCGTACAATGAAGTGATGAGTTCAAGTTCTCGTAGGCTCATAGAGTTTACATTTTTTGGGTTTCCCTTGTTATGAACTCACAATGACCTCTAGTTGGGCCGAGTGAACTTGCTTCTTTTGAAACATGTTTCAAGCTAAAAAATTAGGCACTGGGATTTATCTGGGATAAAAAAGCTAAATAACTAGGCTCGTAGAGCTTATATTTGTATTTATTTTATTATTATGATTTGAGTGATAACTAATCAAATTATGAAAATAACTTAACATTGTGTAATGATAATATGATAATGATGATAATCAGTGGTAGATACATAATTTACGTCAAGGGTATTCAATCATAAAACACAATCATCCAGGGTTGTCAAATAGTATTTAGTTCGAATACTACGATCACTAAAATAAAATTTTATAAATAAATTTTGTCCTAAATAAATCAAGGTTTTTTCAATTGATAAGCGTTTGGGCAACCTAGATGGCTAGATATGTCCCTCATGATAATACATGTAGATGATGTATGGTGATATTGAAGAATTTCAGACAATAATTATAAGGGTAATGCCTACAATGAATTCGAAGTCATTGTGTAGACAAAACATCCGACCACATTCACAAAACACTCGATCAGTTGGTACACTTACAACAAGACTCAATCATTAAAATGAAGGAATAGTCGACACTTGTATGTTGCAGTTGACATGAAAAGATCGATGTTCATAAATAAGTCGCCCTGTCGCACATGGAGATTTCGACTGGTTAGGACTGAAGATATCTTCATACATCAAGCCAACGTCATAGAGAGTGTTCTAAAGACAATGAACCTCATGATTGCACATGAAAGATCGACCGAACATCCGACGTGTCGACTTGTTGATCTACACGTATTGCACCAACAACTACCTTTGATGTTCACCAAGCTCAAAATTCAAAAAAAAACATGTTTACATGATTTTTAGAGTGACAAACTAATAAAACAGACTGTTATTTATGAAGTTTGTGTTGTATTAACTCGGGTTAAGTGATATCAAAGTTCTTATTTACTACGAAACATTTCTAGTGGCACAATCTTGTTCTAAAACTGACAAGGTAATGGTCAACAGGCCGACCACCAATTTTCTTCGTAATGGTACATCATTTTCCAAAAGAGTTTGACCACTATTTATCTTTATAATGGTGTAATTATGTCATCCGATTAACCGTTTTTCGGGAGGGATCAACCGTTTTGTAAAGATGACAATGACTAGCAAGCCACCAACCTTTTATCTCTTTCTCACGAAAAATAAATTAAGGTTTCAGATTTTGTACGTTTTTATCGATGTTTGTGAATATCGAACTTATTCATAATATGATGGTCCGATCCACCTATATAATACAAAACAAGTACACAACATTATAGGTGGACTTCATTAACCTAAATATCACAAATTAACATGATAATAATACTAATTATATCATTGTTTTCCGGCGAGGAAAATCTGGTGTTTGAACTCAATAAATGCACCTTTGACTTCTTGAACAACGACAATAATACGATTCACTCCTCTCCGAACAATGTTCGAAGTCGAACGAGGGTGTTTGATGATTTTTGATTGCTAAGAAAACTAAGTTAAGTTACTCTACTCATATGGAGGTTCAGTGAGAGCTCCAAAAACTAAAAGCTACGGTTATGGCTACAGTGCAGAGAAAAAGATAGAGTTTGACATAGTGTGTCAAATGTTTGGTTGTGGAACCCTTGCTTCGTCTTCGTTTCTTCTATTTATAGCCACTAGGCGTAACTGTCTTGGTAACTGCTAGTTGGCCTCTTGCTCCAAACCGCCTCGGGATCCTTGTCGCCGCCTTGGTGACTAGTTGGTAACCGTCGCCTTGGGGGGCCTTGTCCCGTCTTGGGGTTGGTGGGTACTTGATGGCCTCGATGCCGGGTCGGGTTGGTGTTGAGCCTTGTCGCCCTGTCATAACTGGATGGGTTTGAAGCTCTTGCCTTAGCCTCCATGAACCATGATGAGGTCTTGATCTCACCCTTTGCACTTTGCAGCCCCAAGACTCCACACTTAGTTTTATTGCCCTTTCTTGCTCCCGCTTTTTGTTGTCTCTCTGGCTTGATACCCCTGCCATCAAGCCAGTCATATTGGCCCCTGCCACCAAGCCAGCCCTTCAGCTTGGTCTTCATACTTAGTTTTTAGAATCTTATCAAGTTGGTACCTTGCCGCCCTACCGGCTTGGTACCCCGTTAGGGGGCCATCAAAGCCATCTTGGGGCTTAGTCTCCATATGGTCCCCTAAGGGGCTCTACATCGAGTACTCATCATATTGACACGCTTAGCTCGGCACCTTGGCTTATCCATCCATGGCTGCTTGATACCCTAGTCGGGTGGCCACCTCAGCTAGCCACCTTGCCTTAGTCAAATTTCTTGTCTTATTGGCTTGGTACCATGATGCCTGGCTACCAAGCAGGACTTGTCGGCTTGATATCCAGACTTACTGTATGACGCTCATAGTTGGTACCCGACTTGATACTCCCTTGGTGTCTTGGTACTAAGCTTGTCTTGCCTTCTTGGTACCCGCTTGCTTGGCTACCAAGCTCCTATTGTTTCTATACTTAGCCAAATTCCATGTCTGCCAATTTCCATGTTTGGCTACCAGGCCTGCCTTCCCGGCTTGATCCCCTCTAGGGGTCTTGGTATTGAGGCTGCCTTGCCGGCATGGTATCCCCTTAGCTCCATACTTAGCCAAATTCATGTTTTTCATGTCTTGGTACCAAGCTCTGCCTTGCCGGTACCACTCATCGTATCGTACGACCCCGTGGGCATGAGATTTTATACTTAGCCAATTTCCATACTTGGGTTTGGCACCCCGTTGTGCTTCCTTGTTTCTAGATTTCGTTTTTGGATGACCTCCTATTTGGTACCCGACTTGGTACACGCTCGTTTGGCACCCTGTTGTGCTGCCTTGTTTCCAGTCTTAGTTTTTGGGAGCCAAATTTCATACCAAGTGGTGGAGGTATCGTCCGACTATGGGGGCCAAAGAGACGGATCGGTCATCATGTATGGAGAAGAGCTTGGCCACTTAGGCCTAAAAACTCAACCCAACAAGGCCCAACTAGCTCTTTTAATTATTAATGTTGAGTTGGCCTTATAAATTTTCTTATAGTTAATCGATATGGTACAAATTGATTTTTGTATGGATACATGTAGATCAATATCCATACAAGAAAATCAGATTCACTGAATCGGTCACAATTTGTTAGTCCAATTTTAAAATTGACTTGACCATAAAGTACGAGAAGGGGAAAGGTGGAAGAGAGAAAATAAGACAAACAAAAGGGGAAAAAGAAATACGAGCGGAGGGAAGAAGAAGGAAGCTTCGTAGGGCAAGAAAGTTAGAGCTGTGAGAGAGAAGAGGAGTGAATGTGGGGCTTTCTTCTGCTTCTGCTTTCCTTGTAGTTCCGTCTTTGGTGAATTGAATGCCGACCCATAAAACAAGCGCCACTCACCACCGCCCTCTTCCCCCAAACTCCAACTGACTTCCCCCCTCGGCCCTCCCTGCCTGTTATTTTTTGTCCTACAAACAAATATTCGAGAGAGAGAGAAGAGAGAGCGGCTGCTGGCTGTAACTTCCGCCTTCCTCTCTGTTGTATCGCTGTCTGCAACCAAGCTTCCTTCTTTCTCTCCTCCAAAATTTGATATTTGATCAAATCGCCCCCCTTTTCCTCAGAAAGATATCACATTCCGCCCCTTGAATCCCCCCATCGTAGAATCATCAAAACCTGTTTTCCTTCTCCTTCATCTGTTTTCGGTTCAGATTTCTGTTTCGTGGTTCTGGGTTGAGGTTTTCCCGGCTCCTTTTCTCACAGGTAAACTTCCTTCCCTTCCCTGCCTGTTGCTGGCTTGCTGCTTCCCTTATTCTTATTCTACCAATCGATCTCTTGATCCGCCGACTTGGGCTTTCTGTAATGTTTTCTGGCCTCTAAGGTTTCCGCTTTAACGTTCTCCCCCTTCCAATGTTGAGTCCTGTTACTTTCTGATGTTTCTGATAAGCCGGTGGAATTTTTCTTTTTCTTTTAATGCACCAGAATACTTAACTGGCATCTGGGTTCTGGATCTTTTGGTTGAAAGTTTCGTACTTTGGTTTCTCTGTTTGTCCAATTTCCCTCCATTGCCGTTTTCTCCTAGATGTTGAGAACATCTCTCTGCAGAGGTTTATCTGCTGGTTCATGTTATTAGTTGTCTGTTGATATTGTTGTTGTCCCTTCATGAAGCTGTATGCAGGATTTTGAATCTCTTATATTGTTCCTTTCCTTCTCATGTTTCCCCGTTTTTTTTTTTTCCTCTTCAGGTTGAATCTTGTGTTGAAAGCACTGTTTCTCCATGGTGAGCTCTCATTTCACTTTGTTTCTGTTGGAAATTGTTATTAGCAAGGAAGGGAATTTGTGCCATCCATAGAGTAATTTGATGTAATGCTCATTGCATTTGAGTTAATTTTGAGTTAAATATGTGCCTTTTTCTGATCAAGTGTTCTGTGTAATAGGGGGAGGCTCCAGCTTTCTACGCTGACAACCTGCAGAATGGTTTTGACATAAAAACAATCAAAGCCTGCGAAACGTCCATTAGCATCCAGGATAAAACAGTATGATATGATATACTGATTTTATTGTCCTCTAACAAAGTCACAAGTTATATCTTGCCCTTTGGGATTTTGATCTGGCAATCATCTCTTGCCAACTTGAAATTTTTGGCAGTATGTCATTGGTAGTAGCGATGACGCCTTCGTGGTTCGGATCTGTGATCAAACTACTGGGAATTGGTGAGTTCACGAGGTTATCTTCGCCTTTGCTTGATTCAGGGTTAAAGTAAAGGCCTAAAGGGTAAGGATGGCTTATCTCGTAGAAATCCTCTGTTACAGGATCATTCCTACCATTCACGGAACAAAACCAAAGCCAGGTAAAGGCTATTCAGCTGTGGCACTAAATGAAGATCGAATCGTGATGGTTAAGAAGGGATCTTCTTCAGATGACTGCATCTGGTTTCTTGAGGTTTGCTCTTAAAACACTTGGAACTTGAGATGTAGGTTCACAGGAGTGGGACTGTCCAACCATGTACTAGGTTTCTCTAATTTTCTTATGAAGTTTTGTGTCCTTTCACATAGAGGAAAAGGAGCTCAACAGGAAAAAGAAACACATTAGGACATTAGCTTCATTGGCTCTTGCCATTTCCAAATTAGGCTGCTAGGACTTCCCATTTGCTTCAGGTGCTATTTCAGCTTTATCCCTTTCTTCTTGTGGTGTAACAAAGCGCCAACTATAGAAGCCGGGATTTGTGTTTGTTAGAGTCCCTTGTCAAACTCTACTCTCTCTTTTTTTTTTTTTTTTTTTTTTTTTTTTTTTTTTTGTATAATTGAGATGACTTGTGAATTCGGCAGGTGGCCACTCCATATGTCAAGGCGCAGAAACATATTCTGGGCAATGAGGTTGTAGCCTGGAGTAAAGGTGTAAGAGGCAATGCAGAGGTACCAATTGTCATCAGTGGTCCTTCTGGAGTAGGAAAAGGAACATTAATATCGAAACTCATGGAGGAATTCCCATCCATGTTTGGATTCTCTGTGAGTCACACAACCCGAGCACCAAGGGCCATGGAGCAGGATGGTGTGCACTACCATTTCACTGAAAGAGCTGTTATGGAAAAGGACATCAAAGATGGAAAGTTCCTCGAGTTTGCCTCTGTCCATGGTAACCTTTACGGAACCAGCATTGAAGCCGTAGAAGTGGTGTCAGATTCTGGAAAGGTAACCAATTTTTGAATCCTTTCACTGTTTACTTAATGCTCTATGAATTGAAGTAGTTTTCAAGGATGCTGGATGATTTTGAACTATGCACATGCCATATACTTCAGCAGCCTGCAAACTTTTAGCTAGTCGTTGACTTTTTATTTTGAGTTATTAAGTTAGACCCAATCAAATCATGGTAATGTTTAATTCTTAATATTCTGGTTCATTAGTTGCTGAAAATATTGGCATCCTCATGTGATTGATACACTTGGAATTAGTATCTTCTGTGCCTTTGTACTCTTTTATTTTTCTTCATTCAATTCAATTTGTTTATTTCATGTAAGCATTGACTTCAAGGTTTGAATCCAGTATGTTGGATGTTCTAGAGATTTGACCTTTTTATTGTTTCATTTCATTTATTTGAGCATTTTACTTTTGGTTGCAGCGATGCATCCTTGATATTGATGTTCAAGGAGCAAGATCTGTTAGGGCAAGCCCTCTGGATGCAGTTTTTGTATTCATATGTCCCCCATCCATGGATGAGCTTGAACATCGTCTTCGTGCAAGGTTAGTATATTATTAACCTGTCGAGACCTTTCTTTCTATAATTGTTTTTTTGGTTGCAATAGATTTAATTGGTTACAAGTAATCTTGACAGAGGGACCGAGTCTGAGGAGCAGATCCTGAAAAGACTCCGCAATGCAAAGACTGAGATCGAGCAAGGGCAATCCTCCGGCATCTTTGATCACATCCTCTCTAATGACAACCTCGAAGAGTGTTACCAAAGCCTTAAAGTAACCATCTTTACCATCTAATATTGCTTACGCAATCCTTCATATGCTGATTATGTTTCTGATTTTCTTCTAGAAAATTATTGGCTTGGATGGACCTGTGGTTGCTACCCAGAAAATTGGTAAGATAGATTACCACCATAATCTGTTAACCGCAAGATTCTTTCTGTAACACGATAAACATAAATTAACTAGTTCAATGCTTAATACAGAAGCACCTCTAGGAATCGATCTCCCGGAAGAGCATTCAGTGTCTGTAATGGATAAGAAAATCATCATCAACAGTGGAACTGCAGAAGTAGAGAAAGCCTCAAAGAACTTGTAAGTCCCTTTTTCATCTGGTGTACTTGTAGGGTAGTATAGAACCTCTGTTCAGGTGATAAACTCATAGTGTTATTTCTGTTGGGGGCAGGATTGTGTTGGATGTTTCCTCTCTCAAGGGGGGAGCTCCAGGGCGGACGAGAGGGCTTGAGTTGCACGCTATCGACTCCTTCTCCGACGGCCTGGCCTCGGGTTGCTGACAAGAGAAGATCCCCCCCCTGAAACTAACTGGAATACTGACATGCTGTTTGTTTCTTCGTCTATTCAAAATGAAATTTCCGATTTGTGTCGTCATTTCTTATTTATTTACTAAGTGGGAAATAGCAGCATCGACAGAAAACTCTTTGATAGACCACCTGAAATTTTCTTCACATAATAATTTGCATATCTTGGTTCTTTATAGCTTGCTGGTTTCCTTCCCATTTCATTCTTATCACACTCCCCACCATCCGCTGAGAGAAACCATATTCAGCCCTGTTCCAACTTCCTTAGTTGCTTGCTTCTGGCTAACTTTTTTCAACCGGTCGATCAGCTTCAGCTCAATGATCGAGTGGCTGTGATATGCGTTAAGGCAAACACACCATGATCGCTCATTCTGATCAACAATCGTCGAATCGCGCCCGAATCGAACAACTGTGAAGGCATATAAGCTTGGTGGTCATACCCTTACCCTGTTATTCCTCAACTGGAAAAGCTTGAATTCGTTACCTTTGTGGGGGTTGATGCAGACGTGGGGATTGAAAAGCACACTGTTCTTTTCTTTTTTTTCAATGGCGTGTAGTGTTGAGATGTCTAGATTGGATTGGTGGTGGTGGTGGGGAGAGCATCGCATCTTTCATGTCGACTTTTAGCGGATTGCGTAAAAGAGTCGGCAGATCCTTCCCCTGCTTTTATGCAATTGGTGGGTTTTTGAAATTGGGACCTCAAAATTATCCCATGAAATGAAATGAAATGAAATGGACCCATTTAGCTACAGAATACATAGGTTGGTTGGTCAAGTTGTGGTAGGGCATCGGATTTAGCAGGAAGCAGGTGGACTGATTCTCTTGTCTGGTTCTTGTTGTGTCATCAAGTAGCCGTACCACTTGCCCGGTTAAACCATTCAAATTTGATTTGAACTCAACATGAAAATAGAATCCAATGGAACCTTAATCCACTAGTTAGCAACTGTTTTTGTTTCTTTAAAATCACTGATAATAAGTGATTAGCAACTTGGTGAATCAAAACTCGAACAAAAGTGTATACAGGGGAAGTTCCCACCTCGAGGTTAGACACGTCTTAGCGTAGATGATTCTATCTTTCTTTCGTTCTTTCTCATTGCATTTGTTGTCAGGCTGGAAGATGATACAATTGCTCAGGATGGATTGACGAGGATCAAGAATGATTTGTCTACAGGAAGAAAAGAAAGTTGTTGATGTTTTATTTTAGTGTTAAAAACTTACCGAATTCGTCGCATTTATGCGAGTGGCAGCCGTACGAGAGCTACGTAGTGGTTGATGTGAAGTTTGTCTTCAACATACTTTACGCCGAGTGTGGCTCAATAAAAAAAAAATTTATTCAAAGAAAATTTTGTGCATTGAATGTCCACCAAATCAATAATCACCATACTACTCTCAATTGTCATATTATTCGAATTTGATGCTCCATCGATGCTATAAAATATTTTATTTTACAAGGATGATATAAATTTATTTTTTTTAATTTGGGTGAAAATTAAGAAATTTGAATTTAGAATCTTCGGATTTAAAACTAGTGATACTATCACTAAACCAAACTCTTTCTCGTGATGTGAATGTGATGCTATAAAATATTAAGTGGCTACTTTACACCCACTTTCTTGTTAGTATATATAAATGACAATTATTGTCTGTAAATTTCAACAAGTATACTTAAAGGGTCCAATAAGATACGATAAGGTCCATCGTAAGATTCTACACCAGTTCCCCATTAACAAATAACAATGGCTCTCAAGTGAGCCTAAGAAAATGATGTTCAAGCACTGCAACCTGCCTGGATATATAAACATCCAAAACAGAAAGGCTTTCGGTTTTATAGTTTAAACACTGATGGAAAACTCATCAACTGCTGACTGCTGTAAGTAACAATACCCTAACACGCTCTTTAAATAGAAGAAATCACGACACCAAACGATGAAACTTATATCACCCTTATAAAAAAAAAAAATACAACGACTACATCACCACCAGTACAAATGGGACGCATTCTCCTTAACCCAAAGCAAGAACAAAGCCAACTCCATTATGTTCGATCGAGATGGTTGATACGCGAAACTCGATTGAGAAATATTTCAATTTCGAAATCGGTAGCTCTTGCTGCTGCTACTCTTGTCATGAGCAGCACCAGAAGAGCCACCCTCATTCTGCTGCTGCTGGTGTTGATGGTGCTGGTTTTTGTTATTAGTGTTGCTGCTGAGGAAACGGCCACCACATCCTCTCTCCCTTCTCATCGCGTGTAAATGCCTCGATTCGTGCAGATATGGCTGCCCTCATCACCACAACCATGTTTCTAAGTCAGCAAAATAGGCATCCAATGTATGATGTTGCACAAGATAATTGAAACAAAAGAGATCAAACCCACCTTTCTAGCTTTGCTGAGTTTCCTGTCCAGCTCGGCTTTTCTGGCACGAGACTGCCTTCTCCTTAAGATGCCATGGTACTGCTTTGGATTTACATACACTGGTGGTTCCTCTACCACTTCAACTGCTAACCCCATTCCAGAAGGATGATGACCAGCTGCAAATGCGTGGCCGATGGAGGAGTCTGGTTGGTGGCTAAGTGTTAGTCCACCGAATTCGATCACTGTTGAAGGCATGGTCATGGATGCAGCATTGATGGATGGGTGTTGAGAAGCTTGTCCTGAATCTCCATCTGCTGATTGAATGAAGAATCCAAAGGATTAACGTTTGTTAGTATCTTAAGAATCCACAGCCTGTAACTGTAATGTAAGCTTCCTCTGGCCAAGCCCCCCTCTCCCTGCAAGGGAAAGACAAGGTTGCACTTCAAAAGGCAAATGAACCAGTGGTCAGCATCTCTCTCCAACCATTTCTAATGCAGAATACTTTTTCGTCCCTGACCACCATGCAAGTATAACAAGGAGACAGGTTGTGATAGTACAGCCAAGCAATTAGGTTACAGTCAACTTACCTGTAGTCAATATATGGAACCATAACAAACCATTAAGTTTTTGGGAAGAAACAATAGAAGGAAGGACAACCTAATTGGCCTCTTGCAGCTTCATTAGTCTGCTGCTTATGATCACCTGTGAGCCAAAACCAAATAAGAAATGTGATTTCTTGCAACAAAAGTTACCAAGGGACTCTTAAAATTAAGACTGCAGCAATAAAGACCCATAGCAGGATGTTGCATGGTGGCTTTAGTGTGCTCTTATTGTTACATTTGCATACAGAGACAGTTACACCAACACCACCATAACAAAGCATACCAGGTTATGCTTATCACGCAATGCAATTTGATATTTGTGTAGCCAATGGGAAATCAACTTATGGATTCCAAAGATTTGACTACATTGTCATCTTGGTTGCAGCATGAGATGGCAAATAATGTCCATAGCTCAAATGAAGAGTTCAGGGCTTCCAAAATTCACACAAAAACACTTGTTTTGATCATCAAAATCCAGGATGGCATGTTAAGATCCAATTGGTTCCAATAATTCGAGTTGTTGGAGTAAATGAAGTAAACGTGGGAATTACAGTTAACCAGATGGATAAAAAGTAAACTGCTAAAAATTCAAAACAAAGTACCTGAGTCTGAAATTGATGTTTGTTGCATCTCTATGATTATCCCAGTTCTCTCACTAAGTCCATAATGCTGAGGTTTTGAGTATGGGACCATGGGATCTGAACCAAAATAGCTGCATCCCTGAGCAGATAAATCAATGGAGCTTTCCCCTAACTTGTCTGACATGAAGCCACCACTATTACCAGTAATGCCAGACCACTGAGATCTAGAACTAGAGGTTCCATATTGTTGGTTATGCTGTCGCTGCTGCTGGTTAGATGCGTGCTCAAAATTTCTGTACATCGTGCTTGGATTTCACTTTTCTGCCTTGGCTGAGTAAATGAAGAAGAAGCTAAGCTCAGATGGCATTGTAGAGGAACAGAACCAAGAAAAGATAACAACACGCTTTGATCAAGTGGTAATTTTCATAGTGTTGGAAGTTAAACCTGAAGCAGAAAATAAAACTGAGACTCGGTCTCAATAAATCAAGTTGTTAAGAAAGACATGGAATTGCATCTAATAGTACTAGCGCATGAACCCCCCTAAAATAAAAGTTCATCGACTGAGTTTACGTGCTTAAACAATCGTTAATGTCGAGTATTTAGTAGAGGTTGAATACGACTTTTCGCTTATAAAAAACTCTAATACCATATTAGAGATAATTTATCCTAACTGTACGAGTTGTTGGGAGAGGTTGGAAATCTTTTTGCATGATATTTTCTATCTGACTATTCATGATCCTTATATTATCCAGTGATTATTCATCCATTAGAAGCAAAGCAAGTATTAAGTGCTGAAATCACAGTGAAATTACTGCAAAACAAAACCAGAAAGAAGAGAGCCCTTGAAGGTGCTTAAGTAAGTACAAGAAAGCCAGGTAGAAAGAAAGAAAGAAAGAAGAACAACAAGACCAAATCAGTAAACAACTGAACTGGAGGAAGCTTGGATCAAGCAAGAAAATCAAAGGACAGACTACCAAAAGAAAGACCTCTTTTTCCCCCTTTTTCTGAACCTTTTTCTTTTTGTAGGAGCTCTTCTGAAACTTTGTAGTGTTATGGTTGAGAAGTGTTTTGTCTGTAGCAAAATCTGGAAATGGCAACCCAGACAGAGCATGGAGCTAAAATGGAAACAGGAAGGCTGATAAGTGATAAGCTAAGCTGAGCAGAAGACAGTTTATTTTATGGGGGGGCTATATGTCTCTTTCATTTTGATGAGTTTGAGTGGCTCTATGATCCTACTGCTTTCATAAACTAAAACACCACCCTAGAAATGGAAAGAAATGAGTAACTCTTTATCATTTCCTTTTATTTTAATGGACCTTTCCCTTTCCCTTTCTCTTTATTGCAGTGTCTTAGGTGTGTTGATTCCATGGTCTGGTCCTTTGATTGAATGGGTTGAAAATGGTTGCGTGGTCCATGGATGTCCAGACATAACATGTGTTAGGTAATACATTGATATGCTTTGGCTTGCTGACTAAGCACAGCCTGTTGAATATTTGACGATATTAACAATCCGTTTTGTTACTAAAAGAGTAACTTAAACGATCATATTATAAATTTTGGTGTACTTATAGCGCGATCGTTTGATCGCGTCTAACGATACTATACTTCGAATCTATGACCCAGAGGTAAAAGTTTTACTTTCCAGAAGGAAGGTATTGGCGTTAAATCAGTTTACCTTGTTGCTGTTGGTAAGTTGGGCCAGATGTCAGAACCAAAATGGAGGCGTTTCTTCTAAGTTACAGGAACAGGACATCATAACTGCAGCTCTGAAAGAGATTTGGTCGTGGTAGTGGTGGCAGAGAGAGAGATTAAAGGGAAAAGCAGGCCTCTTATGGAGTGACACCTGCTAGTTAATTCATAATGATTCTAGATAAAAACAACTAGAATGAATAACTACCCACCAGGTGTCCAACAGAAACACTGACCTTTCTCTTTCCTCTGTTTTCCTTTGTCTTTGGAACTTTTGGAGATTGGGATGGGGAACCCCGCTGGATAGGAGACAAGTGTCGTGCAAGAAAAAATATGTCTTATTTTTGCATTTCTGCCGAAAATGCAGTTCGTAATAGGGATGGCGATTTCAACAGGACCTGCTCGATCAGTTTCGCATGTGGTGTTGCAACGAGGAACAATTTAGAGTTGTCGAGACGATTGTAGCAGCAGTTTACGTATAAATGACCCCAATCTGGAGGGGGAAAACTGGGGACTTCTGTTATGGATTTTTAAGATTGATTCACACTAGAACTCAAATACAATATGCACACTGCCTTTCACCAAAAACAACCCAACACACTTGCAATGACAAAACGGTAAAAGAACAAAAAGGAGAGGTGAAAACGGATCTAAATGGAAGTTACGGGACGCCTTGGAAGGACAAGCGATCTCGAAGGGTATCGAAAAGAGATGAGGCAGCTGTGTTTTGTGCAAAGCTCATTCGTAATCGACCCAGCAATTCCCCGTCTTTTGCTTGAGAAGCAGCATCGGCGGCTTCTTTGGCCATTCCTACCCGAGCATATGCCTGCAGTAGTCGTCAAAGGATTATTCACAGAACAGCAGAACGAATTGCTGCAGCTCTCTACTATTCTTTTTTTTTTTTTTTTTTCTCTGTTCATACACAATAATCTGGGGATAGAAAAGGGAGACAGTCAAGTCACCTCAGCTCTTTCTCCCGGGTCTGCAAGTTTCGGTATGTACTTGAGAGCTTCTCCTTTCTCGTCAGCTTCAATGCATGCCTCCACGAAAGGCCGATAACCAACTGGTGGTCTCTTTTCCCTTGAAAATTTCTCCAGGGCATCCCAGTTTCTGACGGTTGCTAAAGCGAATACTTTGAGCCAGTACCACCTCTTCTCAGAGACCTATTGGCAGCACAAGAGGAAAACCAACCACACAGGGCACAACCAGGTAAACATGTATACACAAGCTTCCAGAGCTCAGACATGAATATGCTGTCTGCTTCAATTAGAAACATAATGACACCCAAGACAACAGAAAAAAACTTACCTTGAACTCCGTCTTCACTTTACTTGCAAATTTGTCATTCCCCAGCACGATACATGTTCGAATTGTATCACTGATGCTTGAATCTACAAAAATGGCTTGTTTCGTGGCCACTTCTAGTTCGTGTTGAATTCTGCAAAATTGACAGTGGTAAGTTGATACCACAACAAAGTGTACAGACACACGGGGGCGAAGTAAAAAGTAGGGGATATGGAAACAGCAAGCTAAATTTCAGGTCATGACAAGTGGAAGCCAGTGATGGTCAATTATTCAGTCTTCACAACATCAAGAAGTCAATTTTCGGATGGCGGAAGTTACAAGCTAATAATATGCTGGAAACAGGAATCTCCTACCTCAATAATTTTGCATGTTCTTCAGCAGCTTTTGATTCAAATGTGTTCTCCTTTGTCTCGGCAAAAAGATTATGAGATTTTTCAATAAGCTTTATGCGTGGACCGTGAAGCGGCGAACCTTTACTTGCCATCGGGTTTCTCCCTCTCTCCCATGATTCCTTCCATAAGAGAAATGCTACCTCCTTGAAGATCCAAAAAGGAAAAATGAAATATTAAAAAAGGGAAGAAAAGAACTGCAATATTACTGCTACCTCCTCTAAGTACAATCTTCCTGAAACTTGGGTAATACTTTGTACAATTGCACACACATGCAATAAAAGAAAGACTTCTGAAGTTTTAGCAGGCACCAAACGTCCATTATACCGTTATACCGTTACCCCACTCTGTCCAGGCTCCAGGGCACGAAAACAACACTTTGCAAAAAGAATCATTCAGACACTTGTTTATAAAGGAATTCTGAAATGACACAGCTCAATGGAGAATAATGAAACATACCTGAAGTTGCCCAGTTGATAGGAAAAAGTCCTTCAAGAATTCATGTTTGTAACACCTGAAACAGAAGCATCAAACCAGTGACACATCAAGATAAATAATACAAGCATGATACACATCTTAGAAGACAAATATAAAAGACAGGAAATGACATTTACCGTGCATAAGTTATAAACATATCCCGTGCTAGTGGCCTGGCTTGTATTGTCCCAAAAAACTCCAAGGCTGGTCTCTGCATCAACGGAAACTTAAAATTACTTCACAGGTATTCGCAGCCCCAGCACATAAATTAATGTAGAAAATCTAAATGAATAACAAGAAGACATGATTGGGAGGGATAGAGAGACAAGGAAATCAAGAGTGAAATCAAAAGAAAATTAAGAAACTAAAATTGTGTTTCAAGAAAAAACGGTACCTTCTGCCAGATATGGAACAGAACAAGATAAACCAGATCAGTGTCACCACTTTCAATTGCCTTCATAAGAGCTGTATCTTCCTCTCCAATACTTAGCAAGAGAGGAACCTGGAACAAAGGGAATCGAGAGATCATCAGACATTGTGAACTAAAACAAAAAATGTAATTAGCAAAGAGCCATACACACACGCACACACAAAAAGAGCAGAATAGAGACAAGATAACCTGTTTAGAGGAGCGTGGTTCATGTTCAACAAGCATAGCTGCCAATTTACGGCGTCCGCTTTTATCTGCATGAGCCGCAACAGCTGCATAAGATATGCCCTTGCACAATCTCAGCTGTGCGTCCAAGTAAAATTTTGAGACGTTAATACTTACTGAGTTGCACATTAAGCAAAATATAAAGACATTTAAAGTCAGCAGAAAAAACTATCTAGGAAGCACAGACCTTGTCAAGTAAAATTTCAAGAAGGGCTGCATCCGGAAATGCTGAAGAAGCTGTTATCTTTGCACAAGCCCAATGCATTATAACTACTTCCTACAAAAAACCAATAGGAAAAAAATTATATGCCGATATGGAAGACTCTTGCCACAGCAAAATCACAAAAGCAGACAACTCGAAATACGCAAACAAACATAGTTGCCAATTGCTGAAACATTGGGAAGGAATGCTATTCCCAGCAGGTGAAAGCAAAGTATCTAATACAAAAAGTTGACAGGTTGAGTCAATTTTGGAAACAAAATGTCGAAAATGCACGACCATCAGCAAATGAGACTGATAGTGTCTATTATATAGTCACATTGTGCTAACATAGATCACCATTCAAGTGTTTCTATTACTTCAGAGGATGTACCATGTTTACCTCACCATTCACTATCTCAAAAATTGGTCCGTTGTTTGTAACATATTTAAATTCATTGGACTTAGATGTCATCTAAGTTGCATCAGCATAAAATGCTACTGATTGTGTATAAGCCAATAGGCCAAAAGTTGTCTGAATGAGAAAATCATATAATTTACTACAAATCGATGAGAATGAGGGGGATAATGCAAAAGATAAGGTCAGCTAACATCTTAAGCTGTCATAATCTTGCAGATCACTTAGATAACAACTATCAGTTTTTTTGTTAAGAGTAGCAACTAAAGAGATCATATGATGAGTTCTAACAGAAGTACATGCAGAACTTTTTCACTCTGAAATCTTGATACCTAACAATGCCAAACTCTAATAATTATTATAGCAATATCCGATGGACTTCATTCAAGCTTAATATATGATATATTGAGGGGTTTTTTTTTTTTTTATAAATGGATGCAAAGCATCCTAACCTTCATTCAAAACCAGCCGGGATTCTGAGATCCCCAAAGTATCACACAAGAGCCATAACTTCAAAGCAGAATCAGTAACTTCATTCAAGCTTAAGATATGATATATTGAGGTTTAAATCAAGGAAGTGCAGCATAATTGTAATCCTAAAGATTAGTCTTGTAAGTGCCACCAGTGCAGTCAATATGGTTGATTACTTACCTGATTCATTCCAAGATACTCAGAAATCCGCAGAGAAAGAAGATGCTGGTGCGCATTAATCAAACGAGCAATCAGCACAGGTGCTGTTAGTGTCTGGGAACATGAGCCACCTCAGAATATATCAGGGGAATATATTCACAAGTTGATAATGGCAACATCATACGAGTAGCATATCAGTACCTTGTACTGCTGAATACTCAGAGGAATGCCAATCTCAGGGTTGCGAACAGCATTTAACACCCTCAAAGTTTTAGACATCTCCTGAATTCGCTCTCGTTCGAAATTGCTGTCAAAGACAATTGGATATCAATTCCGAGATAAAAAAAATTAGAAAAAGAATACAATAGAAAAGTCACATTTCGAAAGAGGCATATCCTATCTATATGGCATCCCATGGAGAATACTCCTTCTAAAGGATCATTATTGAAATGGTACTTGATCGTGACAATGTATTTCACTCCAACTCGCAAATTCAATCATTAGGTTGCGGATTGCATCATCTAACCGTGGGGATAGCATTCAATCATATATATATTGCAGCATCGGAAACAAAAGTTCCACCTGGAGAAAGCTTGGCCATAGCTTGCAGCCCGAAGCAGTGTCTGTTGACGGGAAGCATCAAACTCATGACCTGCGGCATCGATACACGCCTCAACAGCCTCAGGCAAGGCTGATTTTATCAATCTCAAGTTTTCATCTGCCTGACAATGAGTGATGGAGAAATATACTTGGTGAGGAAACAATAAAGCTCATAGCCTACGCTACACCAATGCTTATCTCGAGAGACTAGAGGATAGTAACAGAAACTTATATACACATTAAAGACTGAATATAGAAGTAACCAAAGGAAGTAATCAAATTCATGGCATTTAATTGCCTAAAATCTTTGATTCCAAATCAAAAATAATTTCCTTAGGCTGTGAAATAAGAATTTCAGACCTTAGCACTACGTCTGTCAAAATGATCCAAGGCATCAAAAAGCAGCGATGCTGGTGAGGTGCTCCCTATCTTGAAGATGGAAACAGTGGAATCAGGTACCATTTGAAGGAACTCCATGCTGGTGTTAGAAAGTATCCTGACTCCATCACATTCGGCGATAAGAAAAACTGGTTCATCATAGATATAACGCACAGAGTCTTCAGATGATGGACCCACCAGCAAAAGCATATCATCCCAATAAAGAAGCACACTGTCCATTGCACACCAAACCATCTGCTCTGGTGGAAGGGCTGACTGCATATAGTGAAAGTATTGCCCAAAAACAAATACGACACAATGTTATCCATAAAAAAAAGTGCAAAGCAATTTCAACATAGTATAGACTTGAAATTGATGACCTGAAGATAACAGCCCTGATATATAAGAAGAAACCTAACATTAATCTACTGGGTTTCCAACATCAGTAGAAGACCCCCTCAACCAGCACCATGGTGGTGATTCTTGTTTAATTCTCTGGCTGGGTTTCCTGTTTCAAATACTGATTACTAACTTAAACGTCTAGCTAAGTTCACTCCAACTCGACAAGAAACCAAGCAATATAAACAAGAAACTAACTTTTTTGAGAAATGAAGCAAACTTACTTCGCATTGGTACTGGAATAGAGCCTCGAAGTTCATATTCATAACCACAAGCCTCCCGTCATGCATAAAACATGCCAACCAATTACCATCCCTGGTCACTGAAATTTTCTGCACAGGTCCCTGAACTTTCTCACCTTCAATGTGCGTAACCTCGTCTTCATCCACGATCACAATTCCCTCCCCAATTCCCAGAAGCACCCGTACGTTTCCTGAAGCTATGTACTGAGGATCAATGACGGCCATACAATGCGGCAACTCTTCCTCCGCTTCAATCCCAACATCGCCCAGCTTAAACGACTTGATCTCCTTGAAATCCATCACACAGAAGAGTTTCCCAGCCTCCGTCAAACACACAACCCCGTTGGCCCAGAACACGCACTCGATCACGTTCTGCTCAAAGCACTCTTTCCCCATCGAGTAATTGGGATCGAGACACTCCCCATGGATGTTGTACCTGTAAATCGTGCCGTCCTGGACGATACAGATCAGCGTCTGGTCTTCGGTCCACGACATGCCGATCAGGCGGCCGCCGGGGTGCTTCCACACCGTCTCGGAGAGGAGGACGCCGGCGGAGTTGAAGATGCGGAGCTTCCGGAGGGCGGACTCGGAGTAGAGCTGAACGATCTTGGAATCGTCTCGGATTACAGCGATAGGGCCTCCGAATGGAGCGCAGGCGATCTTGTTGCGAGACAAGTCGATGTGCTTCCACCGCATTTGGTAAATCTCCGGCTTGCGGTAGTACCGGTTGATTAGAAGCTGCCACTCCGCAGCGACGGAGACGTTCGCCATGGCAGAATAGGACTCGAGAACTCGAAAGAGGCCTTCTCGATTTAAAGAGAGAGTCAATTCGTTGGTTCAGAAGGAATTGCGGTGGCGCTTTTCCGCCTTCTAGATTTGGGGAATTCGGTTTTCTCCGGCAGGCCAGTGACGATAGTTAAACCAGAATTGGAAAATTAGAAATTGTTGTGTTATTGCTCGAAGGCACCGGTTACTATAACAATACTCCTTGTGTTGTTATTGTAACAACACTAGTCTCCAACCAATTGGAAGTTAGGATTATGATGACTTTTTATTAGATGAGTTGACCTAGTGTAAAATCCAAAGAGGGGTATAATTGTCATTATGAAAAATCTGTTTAAATAATAAAAAATAAAAAAATAAAAAAGTATTTTTTATTTTCTGCCCAAAAATTTGGTCGCCGGAATTCTGCCACCGGTCGCCGGTCACCTGAATATGTTTTTTGTCGCCGGAATATGCTATTTGTCGCCGGAATATGCTTACCGGTGTCGGAATATGCTTACCGGCGTCGGAATTTAGTCATCGGAGCCGGAATATGCCTATCGGCGTCGGAATCTGCTCACTGACGGTCACCGGAGTTCGGTCAACGGTCTTCGTTGACCGGTCAACAGTCAACGATCACCGAATGTTATAGTTAGCATTGTGAGATTTATGGTTTGGTTTCTCATATTTTTTTATGCCTTTTGTGGTTTGCTTTATCGTGTTTGTGGTTTGCATTGAGAAGTTTCTGGTTTGCTTTCAAAAACTTTGTGGTTTGCATTGGGAGGTTTGTGGTTTGTTTTAGGAGATTTGTGTTATGCATTAGGAGGTTTCTGGTTTGTTTTTGTGGTTTGCTTTATCGTGTTTGTGGTTTGCATTGAGAAGTTTCTGGTTTGCTTTCAAAAACTTTGTAGTTTGCAATGTGAGGTTTCTGGTTTGTTTTAATATATTTGTGGTATGCATTAGGAGGTTTTTGGTGTGTTTTAGAAATAGTTGTGGTTTGCTTTGTTGGGTTTTTTATTTGTTTTAGGAGATTTGTGGTGTACTTTAGAAACATTTATGGTTTGCTTTATACAATTTCTATTATGTTTCACAAGATTTGTGGCATGCATTAAAACATTTTTTTTCCATATTTTTGTGGTTAGAACCAGAAATACACCACCAAAATTTGTGACCAGTCTCTATAAATGCCCAAATTGTAGCATCAATCACATGAGTTGCCAATTACTAATTACATCCATATAACTAAAAAAAGCAAGAGTTTCCTCACCTACCACTACACAAAGGACAAGAATCCAAATGAGCTAATCCTAATAAAATCCAAACAATCAGATTACTAAAGTAACACTACACAATTGAGCTTTCACTGCGGGTCGCTTGCTTCAGGGTGCAGAGCCACTGGATGCGAAGAGGTTCCAGGAAGATGAAGCGGCTACGCAACTCTGCAATCACAAGAAACTCTCACGCTCTCTCACTCTTAGCGATCTCACTCTCTCTAGCATGGTCGCAGCAAGCAGCGCGGAGCACCAACTGGCCGCAGCACGCGATAAAGTGGAAGCGGCGGCATCGCAATCCAATTGTCCAGATTCATCGTCGAAATCCGCAATCTCATGCGAGCAGTGAGATCCTGCGCACCAGATCCATGGAATCCTTCATGAACGGCGACGGAGCAGCGACGGTGGAGGCACTCCGCTGCCTCCGACGATAGTGATGTCTCCGCCTCCGTCGCGGGAATTTTGGTGGGAGAGTAGGGGCTGAGACGGCGACGATGGGGATTGGAATGGGATTGCTCGTCAACGGTATTCTGTGATAAATTTTATTATTTTTGTTTTATTATTTTTATTGTAATTTTACTGATATGCCCTTGTTGTTACTATAACAACACTATAAAATGATATATAGTGTTGGTGCTATAAGTTTTTATCTTTATGGTACAATTAAAATTGTACATTTACATTATGGTATAATTTCATATTGTATCTATACTTTTTGCACAATTTCTTTTAAGGTATAATTTGAACTTGTACTTTTATGTGATGGTACAACTTCAAGTTGTAAAGTTGTACCATAACATAATGATACAAATTGCTTTATGGTACAACCTAAACTTATATATATAATGTTATGGTACAACTTTGAGTTGTACATTAAAGCACCAATGTTATATAGAATAGTAGAAGTGCTCGTATAAAATACATCGGGTACAACTTAAGTTTGAGAATTAGGATAGACATACCACTTAAGTTTGAATAGGGCGCCGGGTACCATTAAAGTTGCCAAAATGTTCATCCGTCTACTTTTTCATCCAACCCAAACTTTAAATTAATTTTTGATACCCAAAACCTTTAAAAATATTCAAAACTATATTTCAACAAGTTTTATCTAATATAATAATTAGAACAAATCATAATTTTTCAATAAAATAGATAAATTAGTAAAAAAAAATGAATATCAAGAAGAATAATAAATATACTAGAATATAATAATAAATATTTAAAATAAATATTCGAATATCTATTTAAACCCCCTAATTCAATTAGAATCGCCATTAGAAATAGTTAAAATAGAACCTAATCGATCATCAATATATCAAAATCAAAGAAGGATAAATGGAACACAATTAGAAAGAATTAAACATATTCCACTAATTGAAAAAATTTAGAAAAAAAGAGATGAAAAGTAACAAAACAATAAATAAAATATAAAACAATACAAATATGACTATTGTTTGTACCATCTAGCTCCGGTATGAACAATGATATTTGTTGGTGTGGGATTGACTCACGATCCGTTCGTCTGATGTCGTCGGGAGGGAAGGAACCTGTGAAAGAGCCGGGGATGCCCCCGGATTAAGCTCCGACGATCAAGTTATCTTAAGTTTCAGGAGAGAGTTGAGAGATTAAGGTAGAGAGATAAGGTGTAGAGAGATAGTGGAAAGTAGAAAGCGAGGAGAGAGGAGACGTCTCCCTTCCTTTGGAGGGCTTCAAGCCCTTATATACCTGTAGCGGGTATCGAGTGTTGTCATTGCCGATTGTGCGCTCTACTACTTAGTCTGTGCACGTTGATCCAAAGCGGAGCCCAAAGCGGGCGTATTCTTGGTACACGCCGATCCAACCCTCTCCGCAAACCCCCATGCGCGCGATGGGAGAGGGGTGCGCGTAGCGCCAGTCTGCGGGCATCTGTGCCGGCCGAATTAGTTTGGTGAAGCGGGAGTACAGGATTTTGGACGTATGCGGCGGCCCGGCATCTGCCTCGGACATCAGGTCAATGTCAGTGGGCATATACCCAGGCGGCCACATGTTGCCCCATTGGCTTATCCTGAATTCTCGAGGCGCGCCGGTGCCTACGTTAGAAGAAGAGGAGGAGGTCAAGAAAGGCGCTCAAGGGGGAATGATATGGGAAATAGGGGGCGCTAAAATGTGGCACGGGGGCGCTCATGAACAGCGTAAGATAAGAATGATTTTTTTTCCTCGATCCTCGCGGAGCACGATGTGTGACCATAAGGCGCGTAAGTAAAAGGCGTTTCGGACCCATGATTATGGACCCTATCTTGAGCCTAATATTTTTCCTATCCCCGAGGTTAAACACCTAAAAGGTAAAAGGAAAAGGAGGTTTGATGAAATTTAAAACCAATAAAATACTAGTGGTGGGTAGTTTTCTTTTGTTCTTGGTAAATATGGCGGCTAATTTTCTGGTCAAATGGGAAAGAAAAGAAAGAAAGAAAAAGAAAAAAACCAAGAAGAAGGTGCCTTCCATAACAGATTTTTCCTAATAAGAGAATTAGTGTTGGCAATTTGAACCCGCTTCACGGGTATTATCCGACCTGACTCGCGATTAGGGATGGCAAAAATATCTGTAACCGTGGGTATCCACCCGAATCCGACCTAATCGGGTACGGTAAAACCCGAACTCGAAGTACTTTTCGTGGGTACGGGTAAAATCCGAACCCGCATATTGCGGGTAATGGATGGGCATGGTTATCTCACTATCCAACCCGAACCCGCCCGATTATACACATGCATATGTATTTTGTCTAGAAATAATCATTATTTTTTCCTAGAATATTTTATATTTAGCATATAAATATAATATTTTCATGACATTATGTTGTTTTAATTAATTTTCGTCATTCTAGTGAATTATTGTCGTACTTTTCTTCTTACGTAATGTGAATATACGTGTGAATGTTAACATATTGATTGGAATTATAAGGAGAAATTATTACCCATGGATAACCGTGGATACCCGCAACCCGAACGGGTATGGGCATGGTTTTGATTTTCTATCCGTTTCTCGTGTGGGTACGGGTATGGGTAAAACCCGAACTACATTGGGTAGGGTAACAGATATGCACTATCCGCCCCCGACTGGACCCATTGCCATCCCTACTCGCGATGTGGCGAGTATTACCCGACCTGCAGTAGCGTGGGGCAGGGAATGTGTATCTACTTCCAACCCGTCTTGCCCCACCCCGCCCCGTTCTTAACCCACTCTATCTCAATTTCTTATAATATCTATACATATTTCTCCTATTTTGACTTATCTTCAACTAGTTAGAGTCATTTTCAACTTGTTAGACTCATTTACCCATTCTATTATCACTATTTTTCATGAGCACTTCTATTATGCTATATAGCATTGGTTCTTTAATGTGCAACTTAAAATTGTACCATAACATTAAATGTATAAGTTTATGTTGTACCATAAAACAATTTGTATCATTATGTTATGGTACAAGTTTACAACTTGAAGTTGTACCATTACATAAAGGTACAAGTTCAAGTTGTACCATAAAAGAATTTGTACCAAAATAACATCTAAGAGTGGGTCGACTCATCTCGCCCCATACCCGCGCGAAACGAGACATGATATTGAGTTACCCGCCCCATTGCCAATCACTAAAGAGATCCCTTTCGTGCCACTATAGCAACGCTAGAGAACGGGGAAACATTAATTGGTTCCTGGATTTTCAAGTAAAGATACCGCCCACCATATAAAAATGCAACTATTTTGCACCATGAAGGTAAGATTATACACCTAAATAAATTTTAAACAAATATGCCATTACGAAAACCATCAGATTGCATTGAAGTTGTTAATTTGATATCGATGAAGCAAAATTTGCTTCAACATATTTCTATCTAGTCTTTTCCATAAACATTGACGGAAATGAATTTGTATACAAACAAATACATTTTGGACATCGACATAACATGATCATGTATTTACATTCAAAACTCGATCCTAGCCAATTAGAGACGGGTTAGAAAAAAAGTCAAATTCACTTGTATAACCAAAATTTTGACGTTTGTGATAAATATAACCACTTTTGGAGAAATACCAGAAATAGCCATAATTTTGAAAGTTCGATGACAAATATAGCCATTTCTGTTACATAGTTTGACGGCGTCAATGACACCGTTAGTCTAATTAACGGAATGATGATGTGACTGCCAACTCATCACACACGTCAGCGACAAGTCATCAATATCATTGCCACATCATTTTGATTTATTTTTTATCTGAACAATTTTTAATTATTTATGAAAACTAAAAAAAATAAATAAAACAAACAATAAATAAATAATTTTATCTCACATCCCTCTAACCCTCTCTTCTCTCTGCCTCCGCCCGCAGCCGTCTTTCCTTCCTCCACGGACGATCAAAACCAATCGCCACCACCTCCTAGTCCCATCTCCGATCTCGCTTCCCTCGATACCGCTCCTCCCTCGACCAGTAGCAAGCCAGGTCCCCCCTCCCCCCCAAATCCCGGGGAGACCACTGAAATGACAACCAGCAAAGACGCCGACCAAAAGCGACGCCGACTTCGCACCGTTTCCTCCGTACGTCGTTTCCTCTGTTTGATGGGCACGGAGCCTCCAGATCATCCGCACTCGTTCTATTGGTAAGGACCACAAAACCCTCGCAGCTTTGAGCTCAATCAATCGCTAATCTAACTCAAACCGTGTTCATGAATCGAAGTTTTGCCGGCGGGATTGCGGCGATTTAAAGCTCTGAAGCCATCGATGTTGCAGCAGGAGCGGCAGTGAGTTAGATCTTGGGGTTGGTGGTGGCTGTTGCGGATTGGAAATAGATCTTGGTTAGGGTTGAATTCGGTGTGGTAGTTGAGGTGGATTGAAGAGAGGTGGTGAGTGTGAAGGTTGGTGGTTGTCAGTTTGAAAGTTGGGGAGGAGGAATAGGGGGAGTGATTCTGGGGAAGAATGGGGAAGAAGGAGAGAGATTTGGAAGGTTTTTTTTTTTGACAAAGGGATCACTTATATTGCTCAACTAATAAAATCGGTTACAAAGAGGGATACAACATGAGAAAACAAATCAAGAAAGAACAACCTCAACATCTAGAGGAACACACAAACCAACGAGGGGAAGATCAGAACAAGAGAAAGCCAAGCATGATCCAACTAGACAAGGGCATTCCATTCTTGAACCGCAAACCAAAGCATCTGAATCACTCTTTGCAACCTCATTTATCAGAAAAACTCAAAGGAAAGCTTCAGCTCATCCAATACAGCAATGACCATGATGATTGAACATTGCAACACCATATGCCGCCTCCTGGGAGTTGTTCGAAGACGACCCATCACAGTGAATCACCGAGGAGATTACATGGCGGTGGGCAGCACTATACAGGATTGTTCAGAGCTGAAACAAAGAGAGGGAGCCGGCAGCGGAAGCATCCATGACAAACCAGAGAGCAGGGAACACAAAGGGTTGAAATGCCCACAAAAACCACAAGAAAGAAGACCCACCAGCATGAGCCTCACCTGCAGAAACACAAAGCCAAAAAGAGTTCCAAGAACAGGAACACCAACAAGCAGCACAACCCAATCCATCAACAACAACCCACACCCACACTGCAAATCAACCCAAAAGAAGAACTCTGATCTCATAGAAACATGGACCATCCGCCATGACAATCGGAAGAGACACCGCCACCCACACTGACGATTGGCAAAGATGCAGAGATCAAGAAAGGAGCACAACAGCAGAGGCGCAACAGTGAACGTGATCGCCCACGGGAACGACCACACCAAGAAGGAGGAAATCTTCAAACCGAACCAGCAGAAGCACCCCCAAATTGCATCTTCCGTACCCAAAACAGAGGAACAGATCTAGAAAACTAGATCTGAACAAGACACAACATCTCCACCAGGGAGGAAAGTGGGAGGAACCACTAAGGAACCGAGATAAAGCCACCAAGGGCTGGAAGAGCCATCGAGGGCTGGAAAATCAGAATAGATCTGCAAAAGCCGAGAAGGGCAAAGGAAACAGGAAAAGCCAGCACTGATCGGAGAGCAAGGAAACCACAAAGGAAATCCGGCGAGCAAGAGAAAGGAAGAAAAAAGAGAGAATTTGGGCCACCGCCGGTCACCAGAGTGGTGTCGGCGGCAGCCCTGTGAAGAAGATGATGGAAAGCTAGAGAGAAGGTGGAGGTTTTGAGGAGTATTGTGGGTTTAGATTTGGAAGATTGGATGGGAGGGAAATTGGGGAGGAGGAATAGGGGAAGTGACTCTAGGGAAGAAGGAGAGAGATTGGGAAGGTTAGGTGGGAGGAGGAACAGGGGGAGTGATTCTAGGGAAAAGGAGAGAGATTGGGAAGGTTGGGTGGGAGAAGAACGGAGAGGGAGAGAGAAAATAAAAAAAATATTTAATTATTTTCATTTTCATTTTTTCTGATTATTCCAGCTCATATTTTTAATGATTAAAAGATTGACACGTCAGCTTTCTCATTCAACCTGAAATTGTAATTTGACTGACTGGTAGATACGGGTGGATGAGCACTTCTACTATGCTATATAGTATTGGTGCTTTAATGTACAACTTAAAGTTGTATCATAACATTAAATGTATAGGTTTATGTTGTACCATAAAACAATTTGTACCATTATGTTATGGTACAACTTTATAACTTGAAGTTGTACCATCACATAAAGGTACAAGTTCAAGTTGTACCATAAAAGAATTTGTACAAAAAGTATAGGTACAATCTGAAGTTGTACCATAAAGGCAAAAGCCTATAACACCAATACTATATAGCATTGTAAAATTTCTGACGGGTGGATTGGGCTGGTGGGTTTTACAGGCCTGGGCCATGTATTGATTTAGCCATGTTTCAAATTGGGGGCCTGTAGTCTCAATCCGAAGAGATTAAAATTAAAGTAACAGGCTTTCCTAATCCATACTAGATTCGGCTTTCATATATATATTAATATTAATATATACCATTATGTCTATTAATAGGAAACGGCGGCGTGCTAATCTTCGTGTCCATCCTGTAGTTCTTCCGCCGCCATGGCGACCGAGAACTGCACGTCTTACCCAGATTTGGATATGGAGCTAAGATTAGGTCTTCTCCCTTGCGCGTCAAGGAAACGGCGGATCGACGACTGGGGTTCTACCGCCGCCATGGCGACCGAGAACTGCACAACCTACCCAGATTTAGATCTGGAGCTAAGATTAGGTCTTCTCCCTTGCGCGTCCAGGAAACGACGGCGAGTCAATGACTCGGAAGAATTAAACCCTCCTCCGATCAGCAATCTTGGTGACGATCTCCTAGCAGAAGTTCTGATTCGCCTTCCGGAACCTAGATCCTCCTGGCGATGCAAAGCTGTCTGCAAGCGATGGAATTCTCTGATTTTCGATCCCCACTTCGCTCGCCGTTTCATTTCTCACCACCAGAGCAGATGGAACCGATACGGCGGTGGCGGCGAATTCGAAGAGCCACCTTTGATGACCTTAGCCTCCGGCAAATCCGTTTTGAGCTTCCTCCCCCTGCCTGATGAAATAAGCGAGAGAGGATGGCATTTCCTAGTTTTTGATGTTTACAAGGACTTGGTTCTGTGCGGATTTAACGAGGGACGACTAATTGGTGCCGAATTCCCGAGATCTCTCTTCCTCTGCAACCCGTTTACGGAGCAGTGGATCGCTCTTCCTTTAGCGCCTAGAACTTCTTCTGCGATTGGATTAAAGGAGGCAAGGTTAGTTTGTGAACCCCGCTCTAATGTTGAACTTGATCTAGGAGATGGCGGCCAAAAACCATTTGTTTATTCCTATGCATATCGGTTTCGGGTGGTGTGTATTTATCACTTGCCGGATTCTATAAGGATAGACGTGTTTTGTTCCGAGTCTGGTGAGTGGACGAAGGAGGCTCTTGTTCTTAATGGGCATTTCAGATGGCCTGATGTTAATGTAGTTTCTACATCGTGCAACGGAGGGTTGTTTTGGTTGTGTATGAACTCTGGAGTTTCGGGGTCTCATTCATTCTTAATTGCTGGGTTCAATCCCTTTCTCCTTGATGTCCCTCCCATCCAATTCGATACTTCTCGACTCGTCTTGGGAAGCTGGAATATTTCGGTCTCACATGGTGCTCTGCACCTGATTTCACTTGGACATATATCTGCTCCACCTACATCTTTGAGTGTTTGGAGACTGGAAGAAGACCGTAAATCTTGGAGCATACAGCATAAAACCGTGTTGGGGAGGACATTCCAAAGTTGCGGCTATGAACTTAAGGACTGCAATGTAGTTGGTTTGCATCCAGAGAAGCCGCATATTGTCTTCTTCAAACATCCTGGTTTTGATGATCATCGTCCTGGTGGTGTTGCACTGTCCTACGATATGAAGACCGGAGAGCTAGGCTTCTTTGGTGAGTTTGTTCCCAGATTCCAGCCTAGGGTTTCTTGCTGGCCCACCCCGATTCCAAGGTACGAGGAACTGCGAGCTATATACGATGGGCGACAAAGCTGTTGGGTTCAACAGAGCAGCCGCAAAGCAGCAACTCTCTCCCTGAACAATCGGTAATAATCTAGTGTACAAATGTTTACTTTCTTTTCTGCATTTGCTTGCATCTCTGTTTCGGTTTTAAGAATTCGCTAATAAAGTCCGAAAGAAAACAACATGTCGGCAACCACATCAAGAACTATAGTCCCTCCTCCTTAATAGGTAGGATAAAGGAAGCTGTCTTTTGACGAGTAGCACAAATACATACTTTGCATGCCTGTCTCTAATCGCTTGAGAAGTCTGATGTTCTTGCAAACCTAACTTGTATTCCTAACACTAGTAATAGTAAAGGGATGCACAGGAACCTGTTTTTTTTCATCTTGTATGTATGTGTAGTTCTTTTCATTTTCTTCCCATGCTCTTCTTGTTGCTAATATTACCTTTTCATCCCATTTATGCAGTGTCTGGATTGTCAAAGAGAGAATTATGGAGTGGCTGGATTCTCAGAAGAAAGAATTTATGCAGTGGCTGGCTTAATTAAAAGACCCCCTCCCCAGTGTATCGTGTTAGGAAGCAGAAGGCGGTGAAACTTGAAAGGCTTGCTCGTGTTGTTTAGAAGGATGGCGCCATTGGATGAAACTTTCGTCCGCAATTAGTCTTGGCTGTCTTTGACTTCTTACTTCTTAGAATGTGTTGGGCCTAAGAGGCCCGTGTAGGCCCGCAAGGAGACAGAGGCCAAGCCCAAGGGAGGGGACCGAGTCAAAGAACGGTACCCGAGGAGACATGGGGAGAAGAGACATCACAGGCGGCCGCCCTATGACGTGACGGGAAATAGGCCGCCTGACACAGGAGACCGTTGGTGTCAGGGAAAGTAGATCTTCCTAGGATCCTTACCTCGTACAAAGCAGGACTGAGCATTTAATGCCCGCCGCGGGCGGTCCAAGTAAAGTCTAACGTGCCTAGGCTGCCTGACAAAGCATTAAATGCCTCTTACCCAAGCTGGCTGACTATAAATACCCCGGTATCGGCATTAATGGTAACTCAACTACTCTCTCTCTATCTAAACATAAACAGCATTCCTGACTTCTCTCTCTAACTTAAGCATTGGAGGGTGTCCTGGGAACCGCCCACGGACCCTTGTTTTGCAGGAGTTGGAGTACGCCCTTCATCTGGAACAGACGTCTCACTTGCCTCGCAATCAACCGCCTAGAACATTCTAGGCATAAACAATTTGGCGCCCACCGTGGGGCGAGAGAGACACTGAAGAAAAGATGGACGGGACCTCTAACACTCCTGTCAAAGACATGGTCAGAGGAGATGGCTTCCGCAGCCAAGAAGTAGCAACGGGAGGCCTTCGCGGAATGGAAATGCCAGTGGTGGAAGAAGAGATGGAGATGGAGGACCGCGTGAAAAGCCAAGGGCAGCAGATATCAAGCATGCAAGAGAGTTTGAGCCAAATCCTGGCCATGCTCCGAGAAAAAGAAAGGGAGGCCCCAGAAAGTTCGGGGAAGCGAGCAGCCAAAGGAAAAGAAAGAGAGAGAGAACCCGACAGCCCTGCTCCGACAGAAGGCGGGGAGTCAGACGAAGAAGAAGGAACAGGAGGTGACAGCCTTGGGTTCCTGGAAGAACATCTTAAGCCCACATATGAGGGCGCGAGGACCCACCACATCCTACAAAATCCACTAGCCCAAAGTCTGTTTAAAACTCAGGTACCACCGAACTTCTCGTCGCTCGGCCTGCCGACTTATGACGGAAGCTCGGACCCCGCCGACCATCTGAGCGCCTTCATACTGAAGATGCAGCTCATCAACGCCACAGACGCCGATCTGTGTAAGGCGTTTCCAGTCACATTTGGAGGGCACTGTCGAACCTGGTATACATCACTTCCTGGGGGAATAATCGAGAACTTCGAACAGTTTGCTACCCTCTTCTCCTCCAAGTTTGCATCCCAGCGAAGGAGGAAGCTAACCGTGTCCGCGCTAATCAACTGTAAGCAAGGCGGAGAAGAGACGCTGACTGATTTCTACGACCGGTGGAACGCAATAGCCTGTGAAGTTCAAGGAATATCGCCCAGTGTAGCAGCGGGGAACTTACGAATGTCTACACATAGCCGCGAACTGCGAAGGGCGCTCATCAAAAAAGAGCATGCACTGAGAGAGTGGCCTGATCTGGACCGCCTAGTGAGAAAGGCGATCCTGCTGGAAGAGGCCCTGACAATGGAGGACAACGCAAAGCATGTCAGCGCGAGAGAAGGAACGGAGAAGAAGAAAGGAGGATCGCCCAAGGGAAGAGGGCGGTCTTCAGAAAAACGCAGCTATAAGCCACGGTTTTCCCACCGCGACAATCGAAGGGAAGTTTACACCGCCAATAAAGAAGAAGGGAGAGAAAGAAGGGGAGATAACAGCGATGCGCGCCAGACGCATAGGAGGGAGGAAGATCGAAAATGGTGCGACTGGCACCAAACTCCCACCCACGACACCGCAGAGTGTCGGGAGTTCAGGGCCAGTTTGAAATACTTAGCGCCTGGAGACCTCAGAAGCCGCCTAGACACGCGTCCCCACCGACAAGGAGAAAAGCACCACAGGGAGAGATCACCCAGCCCGAAAAGAAGATCGCGCACGCCAAGACGCAGAAGGTCGAGATCGCCCAGGAGAGAAAGGTCGCCGAGGAGGGAGAGATCCCCGCGGCGGGAGCGCCTACCACCACCACCCCGGAGGTCACC